TCTTCATTATCTGAAATAGTGTGTCATCTTCATATCACAAGTTCTTGATGAGTCTTCTTTCAACCCTGGTGACACATTCTTCATACAGACAAGTTTCTCAGATTATTTGATCAACATAAAAGATTAAACCGGTATGTTTAAATGATATAACACTGATGCACATCTTTTCTGATTTTAAAGTAAGCAATATTCCCTTGTTTTAATCTAACAATTGCTTTTTTATCCATGTACAAGCTGTGCATAAGCATAATTAAATATTCTGGGATTCTCATTCTTCTCAAAATCATTCATAATTTATTATGATCCTAACATAGTCAATACCTTCATAAAGCCAATAAAGCGCTGTATACATATTTCTGGTTTTCTCTTTTGAGACTGACAACAGCAGTGATATTCCTTGTTCCACAACCTTTTCTGAATATAGCTTGAAATTTTATTAATATACTGCTCCAGTCATCTCCTGAAAGATTTTATTTGCATGACATATTAATGATATTATTTGATAATTTCCACACTATCGATGATGGCTCTTTTTCTTCAACTATTACAAATATGGGCCTCTTCCAGTCTGTTGGCCAGGTAGTTATCCTCCAATTTTCTTGACATAGACAAACGGGCATATCGAGGCTCACATCTATTTACTGAAACACTTCAGTTGCTGTTCTATCAATTCCTAGAGCCTTCCTTCCCCCTCCGCCCCGTCAGTGACTAGAGTGCAGCTTTGACTTCTTCCTTTAGTATCATTCGTTCTTGATTATATGCTACTTCCTGAAATGGTTCCGTGTCAACCAGTCTTTCTGGCACAGTGACTTTGTATTCCTTCCATCTTTTTTTTTTTTTAATGCTTCTTGTATCATGCAATATTTTACCCATAGAATCTCTCAGTATTGTAATTTGAGGTTTAAATTCTTTTTATCATATTGTGAGAATTTTGGAGCATTGTCCCTCCTGTTTTGTTTTGTAACTCCAGGCCTTAGTGCACATTTTGTTATAATACTTTCTGCTTTGTCATCTAGAGTATCTCTTTGAAATCTTCCATTCACTCTTCTTGCCTCTTTATTTCTTTCTTTTGTCTTAGACTGCTTACTTTCAAGAGCAAGCTTCAGAGCCTTTTCTAAGATGCATCTGGTCTTTTCTTTCATTCCTGTATATTTAATGTCCTTTTCCTCTCTTCACATATGATGTCCTTCATATTATGCCACAATTTGTCAGGTTTTTGGTCATTTCATTACATCTGTTTTTGAGATGGTCTCTACATTATGATGGAATATATTCAAGTTGCATTTTGGCTTTGTGAACTTTTTTTTTTCTCCACCCTGAATTTGAACTTGTTGTAGGAGCAATTTGGTGGTCTGTTCTATAGTTAGTCCCTGATCTTGTTCTGACTTATGATATTGAGCTTCTCCACTGTCTCTTTCCAGAGATCTAGCCAATTATAGTCTTGTGTGTTCTTTCTTGCAAAATTCATGTGCATAGTCACCACTTATGTTTCTTCTTCTAAGCACCCTTCTTCTAAGACAGACTTATTTGTTCTTCTGGTAGTCCATGAGATTCAAAACATCAATTATTTTTCTGTCATCCTTATTCACTGTCTAACTTTCAGCTGTATAGCAAGTAATTGGAAAATTTCTGGGCTTGGATCAAGCAAATCTTAGTCTCCAAGCTGATGTTCTTGCTCTTTAACACTTTGAATAGGTCTTTGACAGCAAGTTTTCAAAATGTCATATGTTTATTTCTTGATTGCTGTTACCATTGGTGTTGACTATAGATTAAGTAAAATTAAATCCATGATAGTTCCAGTATTTTCTCCATCATCATGATGTTGCCTGTTGGTTCAGTGGTTAGGATTTTTGTTTTCTTGATGTTGAGATAGAATCCATAGTGATTCTTTGATCTTCAACAAGTACTTCAAATCTTCCTCATTTTTAGCAAGCAAAGTTGTGTCATATGCATAATTCAAATTCTGTGAGAGTCTTTCTCCAATCATTATGACACATTATTCTTCATAATGTCTAGCTTCCCAAATTATTTTCTCAGAGCACAGTTTGAGCATATAGCCCACCTTTCGTGGATTTGAACCATGCAGTGTTCTCTTGTTCTGTTTGGACAACAGCTTCTTGGACTAGGTATAAGGTTTCACATTTCACATAAGCACAATTAAGTGTTCTGGCATTCTCATTCTTCTCAATGCTAGCCATAATTTGTTATGATCCACAGAGTCAAATGCCTTTGCAAAATTGATAAAATACACACAAACATTGCTTTGGTATTCTCTGTTTTCAGCCGAGATCAACCTGACAGTAGCAATGATTGCTTGGGGGCCACCTTCTCTTCTGAATCCAGCTTGAATTTCTGACAATCCCCTGTCAAGGGAGTGTTTCAGTAGTTTAAAAAATAATATTCAGCAAGATTTTCCCTGCATGTAATATTAATGATACTGTTTGATTATTTCCACATTCAGCTGGATCATCTTTTTCTGAGAATGGGAATAAAATATGAATCACTTCCAGTCAGTTGGTCAGGGAGCTCATTCCATTTCTTGGCATAGATTAGTGAGCATGTCCAGGGCTGCAACAGTCTATTGAAACATTTCCATTGATATTCCATTAATTGCTTGGACCTTACTTTTTGCAAATGCTTTCAGTGCAACTTGTGCTTCTTCCTTCATTACCATTGGTTCTTGATCCAATGATACTTCCTGAAGTCATTCCGTGTCAACCAAATCTTTCTGGTACAGTGATTCTGTGTTCTTTCCATCTTCTTCCTGATGCTTCCCGGATCATTGAAGATTTTGCCAATGAGCAAGAGCCTATGGTGATGAAGGAAGAAGTTCAAGCTGCTTTGAAGGAAATAGCAAAAAATAAGGCCCCAGGAATAGATGATATACCAATTGAAGTATTTCAGATAACAGATGTTGCCCTGGATGTGCTCACGAAGTTGTGCCAAGAAATCTGGAGAACAACCACTTGGCCAACTGACTGGAAGAGATCTATATTTGTTCCCATTCCAAAGAAAGGTGACCCAACTGAG